GAGATGCCGCGCGCGAGGTGGTCTGGCGCGTGGCGCCCGAGACATCCTCACAGCGCTGGGCTCCGAGATGCCGCGCGAGAGGTGGTCCGGCCTGTTTCGCTCGAGGCATGTTCGCAACTCTGGGCTGCGAGAAAATGTGCGCGAGGTCGTCCGGCCGGTTTCGCTCGAGATATCCTCGAAAGTCGGGGTGCCGACATGCTGCGCGCGAGGTGGTCCGGCCCGCTTCGCTGGAGACGTCCTCGATTTTTGGGACTCCGAGTGGGAGGAGTGAGGAGGGAGGAGGGGTCAGACCCGACAGGGAGGAGGAGGAGTGAGGAGGAGGAGGGGGAGGAGGAGTGAGGAGTGAGGAGGGAGGAGGGAGGAGGGAGGAGGAGTGAGGAGGGAGGAGTGAGGAGGGATGAGGGATGAGGGAGGAGGGAGGAGGGAGGAGGGAGGAGGGGTCAGATTCCGACAAACCGTTCGATTGCCCCTCGGTTGTCGAAGTGTACCTTGGGAAGGGGTCTGGGCGCCCCTGGCCCGACGGGGGAGGCCGCTGGCGCGCCGAGGCGCGAGCGCGAGCCCTTCGTCACCCCCAGGGGCTGCTCAGAAGGGTCGGGGGCGGCAAAGAGGGGGATGATGACGCTCGCGAGCTGCCATTTTGCCAGGGGGATGTACGTCCATCCTCGGAGCAGTCTCTTGTTTGCTTCCGGCCTGTGTTCTCCTCTTCCGCTGCCTCATCCTCCCTCCTCCTCCCCCTTTCTTTCCTCACCCGTGCGTTGTTTTTGTTATGGCACGACCGTTTTTGTGTTCTCTCTCTCTCACTCTTTCACTGTCAGGCCACAGTGCGGGGGTGTCGGGCCCTCGCCGGAGCCCGACCCTTTCAGAACGTAGGAGGGCTGCGGGAGGAAGCAGGCTGAGGAGGAGGAGGAGGAGGAGGAGGAGGAGGAGGAGGAGGAGGAGGGGAGGGGGGCTGTGGCCCTGTTGCGCGCCCCGTGGCGGGACCGCAAGGCCGCCAGCCGTGGAGGCGCCACCTCCCCGGGGAGGGACCGCACCACGCCTCCACTCCTTGACCTTATGAAAATCGGGGGCGGCAAAGAGGGGGGTGATGACTGGGGGGGTGGATATCATGGCGGGGGCCATGATCTTTCCCCGGATCTCATGGCGCCTCTTCTTGTTTCATTACGTCCCTGGCCCCCCCCCGCTGGGCCGCACACGTGTCGCCGGTCATGATTTGCACCCCCCCCTCTTGGACGCCCCCCTCTTGGCCGCTCCCGGAAGGGGGAATCCATGAGTGAGCAGATCGTGGAGGTGTCTCGGTCGAGAGCGCAGTGAGCAGGGAGGCGGGAGGACAGGGATCACCAGCCTGGAACAGATCCCTATCCCTATGATTGGCATCGCCTCATCTCGATGCCGATCTTAGGGATTCCCTCCGTTTCTGAGGGCGCATCCCTGAGATCGTCGTCGACTTTGGGCTTGTTAATCTTAGGGGTAGGGATACGTCCGAGGCTGGTTAGGGGAGGAGGAAGAAGGAATGACAGGCAGGGAGACGGGACCAGGCCCAAACGGTTTGTTTGAGGGCGGCATCCTTTGACAGGGTGCCTCCTGGGAGCGGCTTCGAGAGTGCGAAGGCATCCTTGGCAGGGCGGAGGAAACGGAGAAGAGGAGGAGGAGGACAAGAAAGAGGACGGGGAGAACGAGGAGGAAGGGGAGAAGGAGGGGAGGAGGAGGGGAGGAGGAGGAAAAGGACCCCTAAGGAGGAGGAATAAGAGGAGGAGGAGGAGGAGGAGGAGGAGGAGGAGGGAGGAGAGGAGGAGGAGGAGGAGGAGGAGAGGAGGAATCTGATTAAGAATAGGAGGAGGTGGAGGAGGTGGAGGAGAAGCAGGAGGAGGAGGAGGAGGAGGAGGAGAAGGAGCACTACGAAGAGGAGGAGGAAAGGAGGAGGAGGACCCAGGATCACCAGGAATATAAGTAAGAAGGAGCGCGGCGAGCAGGAGGCGGATGAGTAGGAGGCGGAAAAAGAAAAGGAGGAGTGCGGTGAAGAGGTAGATGAGGAGGCGGTGGAGAATGAGGAAAACGACGAGAACACATAGCACCAGGATGAGGAATAGGAGGAGGGGGACCAGGAGGCGTGAGAGGAGGCGGTATAGAAGGAGGCAGGAGAGGAGGAGGAGGAGGAGGAGGAGGAGGAGGAGGAGGAGCGGGATGCAGAGAGGTGGGGGGATGATGAAGAGGAAGAGTGGTGAAAGGGGGAGGGCGAGGGCAAGAAGGACAATGACGGGGATGCGGAGGAGAAGGAGGAGGAGGAGGAGGACGACGACAACGACGACGACGGCGATGATGATGAAAAGCTCGACGACGACGCCAAAAAGGCGCAGGCGGCAGGGGAACGGGGGTACGCGCGAACACTTTGAGGAGCCATCGTGGCTCAGAACATGCTGTTTGGGAGTGCTGGGCTCTCGTTAGATTTACGAAGAACTCCCAGAAGATGCCTCTGAATCTCAGACTCACCAGACGGCGTGGCCACCGCAGACGGTGACCTGGTGAGCCAAGGGTCGTCTCAGAGTCGGCGGAGTTCGGGCTGGGCTCTCTGCGAGGACGCCTCGAGCGCCACGAGCCGCCAGAGCCAAGGCCGTTCCGGTGACGGGCCACGTTGTGAACCAGATGGTTTGCCACGAGACCGCTGTGGGACCCTCAGGGGAAGAGGAGGGAGGAGGGAGGAGAAGGGAGAAGGAGGAGGGGGAGGAGGAGGAGGAGGAGGAGGAGGAGGAGGAGGAGGGTCGAGGACTGCAAACATGGATTGAAGCGCGCGAGTCCGTCGCCAAAGCAGGCGGTACTGTCCGCAATCCGTGGATTCGGGCGCGCACGCGCCAGATCCACCGATCCCCAATCCGTGCCCGAGAGGAGGAAAAAGAGGAGGACGAGGAGGAGGAGGGAGGAGGAGGAGCAGGAGGAGGGGGAAGAGGAGGAAGAGAAGGAGGGGGGGCCAGTTGCGAGAACTAGGGGGAAGAGTCCACTCCCCCATTCCTCCCTCTCGCATTCCTCCTGTTTCCCCTCCCCCACACCTCTCCCTTCCCTCTCTCCATCCATGTTCCTCCCTCTTTCCTCTCTCCTCCCTCCCTCACTCTTCTGTCCCCCCCCCCCATCCCTCTCTCCTCCCTTCCCCCTCCCTCTCCCCTCCCTCTCTCCCTCCTCTCCCTTCTCTCCTCCCTCTCTCCTCCGGCCCCTCCTCTTCCCCATCCAGCCTGCCTGTCTGGGGCGCTCCAGAACGGGCCTCGAGTGCGAAGCAAGCTGCCACCTCGTCCCCGGCGGAAGGCCGGCGGAGGCCGCCTGCAGTGAAGCCCTGATCCCGTCGCGTAGCGTAGAAGTCGCCACGTGTGGTTTTTCGCTCGTGTCGGCGCCCTGGGGACCCCTTCCAGGCCTCGGGACCGTCAGAGAGGACTCGGGATGAGAAGCCAGTCCCCGGGAACGGGTCGAGACCTCTGAGGGTCGACGTTTCGAAAAATCGTGACGCCGGAGGTTTGGGAACGGAGATAGCCCCGCCAGCCGCCAGCTGGAGACAGAGGCAGAAGAGATGCGCCCCCCAAGTGGTGACGTCTTGGGGTTCCGGGTTTCCGAACCCGGTCACTGATCCGCCCGTGTTCCTTCCCTCCTCCTCCTCCTCCTCCCCCTCCTCCTCCTCCCCCTCCTCCTCCTCCTCCTCCTCCTCCTCCTCCTCCTCCTCTTCTGATCTGCCCACGCCGCGCGCCCGCCGCCCGAGCGAGCCCTCACCCCCGAGAGAGAGAGGCTCGAGGCCGAGCGTACCCCCCCGACGCGGGGGCGAGACGGAGGATGCGCTACAGTGGAAGCCCATGCCAAGAAACCCCCTGCTTGCCTCCAGGGTGCCCTGGGTTTCTTGGGTTTCGATGCTTTTGCGATGGCAAGCGGGACGTTCCCCGCACCATGAATCGATGGACATCCTGTGGTCTCAGGGTTGGGTTTCTTGTGAAAGAGGTTTCTTGTGGTCGAGCTCCTACTGCACCGGCGAATGCAATCCTAGACTTGCCCGGATGCGCGTGGAGGTCTTTGGCCGTTTCCTGCCCTGGGGGGGCCCTCGCTGGGCGCTGGGTCCGTCAAACAGCGATTCGGTATGAAAACTTGCCCTGGTGAAGGGGTTCCGTGTTGAGAGAGCTGTATCGGAGGACATTTGGGATTTGATTTAACCTCAGGAGGGCTTCAGGTGATCCCCCCCTTCGTCCCTCGGCGGTGAATACGTAGGACTGCCCCTCCTCTTCCTCGTCATCCCCCCGCTCCTCGTCGTGTCATTCATGGAAGAGGAGGAGGAGGAGGAGGAAGGCAGGGAGGAGGAGATCAGGAGGAGGTAGCTGTCGTCGTCGTTTTTGCGCGGCGGGTGCCGCGGAAACAAATGTCAGTTACCCACTATTGGTGGCACCCCAGTCCTTCGATAAGGCCGCCGCCAACAATAGCTACCCCTCTTACGGGGGGGTTCTGACGCGCTGCGTGCCGACGCCCGTCAGCACGCCGCAGAGGTGCGTGCTGACGCGCGTCGGCACGCAGAGGTGCGTGAACGACAACCGCTCATAAGGGCAAGCGTATTTGGTGATGGCGCGCGCCGCTGCCCTTTCCCCTCGTCCTTTCGCCTTCGAGGGGGCCTCGCGGGGGGCCCTCGTCGCCACGGCCGGGGGCTGCTCGGCATCCTGGCGACGACGCGCCCCGGGAGGGCCGTGGAAGAGCGGCACCGATGCTCCATCCCCCCCCCCCTCCCCAGAACGGAGGGTCATCTCGGAGCAGGGCCCTCGTTAGATATAAACTCATGGGATGCTATTTTAGAGTGGTCGTGAATACTGGGCGGAGCAAATGACAGCAAATGGCAGCAAATGGACCACGAGGGCCTCGTGGTCCACCTCGGGAGATTCAGGGGGCCATGTGTTGGCGCACGCCGTGGCCGAGCCACGGCCCATGCGACGCCTCGTTTTGTGAGGATGGGGCGCCCCTGGGGGGAGGGACGCTCGGCCCCGCCCGAGGGGTTCATGAAGATCGACCCAAAGAGCGTCAATCTCGACCTCCTGAAGATCGTGCGCGTGGAGGAGGAAATCGAGTCCGGGGGCGGCCACCCCCTGCGCGCCGGAACTCGCTGGCGGGAGTCGCCGACCCCCGGGGGACTCGTTCGCCGTCCCGGATCGCATTTTGGTTGCTCGGATTGGGCGTCGCTTCATGGGGTCGGACGGGGCTACGACGAGGGTAAATCCGCTCCAGAGCGTTCTGGAACGCTCTCAGAGCGGTCCAGAATGCTCTGAGAAGGCCGCGGCGCCCGAGACATCCTCCAGAGCCGCTGGATCTCAGAGATTCTCGATTTATCCTCACCCGATTCTATCCTCGTGAATTTTTGGGCCCTACAACCTCCCGAGTAAAAAGTCTGGACCGCAGAGGTCGCGGAATGAGCGTGTCCCGTTAGGCCGCGGGTCCCAGTACAATGTTGCCGAGACCGCCATGGCGGATTTCCGATTCATGCCTCAGCTCCTTTAATATTATAAATTATAATCGCAAATGGGACGACGATCGGAAATTCGCAGTCCGCCCAAGACTTCCCTCGATAATATGTCCGATCGGGTTCCAGAGGACCTGAAATTTTCAGAGGCGATCGGGAATGTGCGATTTCGCTTGAGACTCCCTTTTAAAAAAATCTGGTCCGACTTATGATGCCTGGAAGTAGCGTCAATATTGGGAATATTCTGCAACGCGCGTTTATGTGTCTCGACGCGCGCGACTCTAAACAGAACTTTCTGGTTCTGATGATCGATGCTTTGCGGTGCTGTGCCGTTGTTCGGGGCGCGGCGTTGTTTTAGGTTAGTCTTGGAGGCCATGTCCGAAATCGGGAGCCGAAGATCCATCGAGGGCCAGTGCTCCAGATACAATCGGTGAGCGAGGACGCAAGGGGCCTTGTAGGGCCGATCCGGACTTTTTAATCCAGGAGGTGGTACAGGCACCTTTTGGGCCCTGAAGGGACCCTTCAAGGGCTTCTTTTCTGCAGCCCTCGCTGCATCCCCCCAATCAGTTACGCGACGCCCAGCTGGAGTGCCCGAAAACGGCCCCTGGACGCCGAGATGGAGGAGAGACGCTGGCATGTTGCGCAAATCAGCAAGGGCGCCCTCGACAGCGCGAAGTTCTTCGCGCTTCGCGGTTCGGCTCCGACCTCGTCCTCTTCTTCTCCCCTGGAGGGCGGCGCGAGAGCGCGAAGTTCTTCTCGTGTCGCGCTTCGCGCGGCGCGAAGCGCGATGTTACGCCCTTGATCAGCAGTTGAGCAGGGCCGAGGGTCAGAGAGCGCCTTCTTCTACAGGACCACCATTCATGGGACGTCAGGGTGGTCAAACGCCTCGCCGGTTAAGCCGACGAGTATTTGCAATTATCCAGCAGTCGCGTACGTCCTAAAGTTTTGGCGCGACGCCGGGTGTGGTGCATCAGCGTCAGCTGGACCGAACAGTGCGGTTGCGCCCCATTGACGTCGGTTTGGGGCGTTCTGCAGACCTGACCCCCGTCCTCGTGCGTGCGTCGCCCTGCCCGGGAGGCCTCGGCCCAGTCCGCCAGCCATCCGGCACGGCTCTGAGGTAGGCGCAGGGGAGAGGGGGGAATTGGCTTTCAATGCTGAAGAGGGGAGGTGCCAGACACGCTCGCGTCGTGAAAAAAAGGACGGGAGATTTCAGCCCTGCTCAGGTCAGCAGGGCTGATATCTGGGAGGAATGGAGAAATGGAGGAGGAGGAGGAATGGAAGAATGGAGACATGGAGGAGGAGGAATGCAGGTCAGCAGGGCTGAGATCTGGGCCTCCGTGCTTCGCGCCCGAGCGGTGCCCCCATCGCTGCAGAGGCTCGCCCTCGAGCGCTGAGCGCGGGCGGCGGCCCGCGGAGCGGCGGTGCGGCCGCGTGCGCGCGGGGCGGGGCGCGTCGAGGGCGAGCTGCGTGGCGCGGCTCTCTCGCGTGTGCTCGGGCCTCTGTGATGCCGTCCCGCACCGCTGCCAGGGGCTGCCCTTCAGCCTCGCCGCCTGCTGCGCGCTCCCCGCGGCCTCGCTGCGTGAGAGTGCCCCCCCCCGCATGTCGGGCCCATCCAAGCTGAGCTGTGACAGTCCCAAGCGGCAGAAACAGAGAACAGTAGTCAATTCATCTTGGGGGACAACATGAGTGCCCCGTCTGGAATGGGAATTCGTTTCTTTTTGACATCAGCGACATTGTGTTTGGCTCAAGCTGATCAGTGGTCGTCAAGTATACTGGAGCTTTACAGCTAGCGTGTGAGACCCTCCCTGCTTTCGTACGACAATTGCGTAAACAACATTAGCGTTGTCGTGCGGCTCTCATGTGGGAGCCGCGGGAGTTCCACCCACCAGCGAGCAACACGATATTCAACACGAAGTGCTGCCAACAACAAGGGAAGCCGCCATGATAAACTCATCGCGCACATATGAACAGTCCAAGTGTCAAGTGACACCAGAAGGTTTTTTTTTGACACTGCGCAAATGGCCCAGAAGAGCTGTTTCCAGCATCCTGCATCATTGTTTAAGACACTGTCCGTCTCTGTACGCGAGTTTCAAAATACACTCGCTGGTCTCGCCTCCGAATAATTCTGCAAATCTCCATGTTTTGCACTTGGGATGTGATCGGAAACGCGCGCACCACAGCCTTCCGCCGATATGCTCAATCTTCCATACGCTTGTGCTTACAATGCGAGGCCAACAGACAGCGCGTTGATCACAACAACCCGCTGCGCGCTTTCTTATGTGTTGCGTCTGTTTTTTGTTTGTTTTTTTCTTACAGCGCGCATCCATTGGGAAGGTGGGGGCCGAACGACACGCCTGCGGCGGGAAGGGAAGCGTGGGCCGACCGACCCAGCGGCGGCGGCGGAGGGCAAGGCGACTCGTTCGGCCCGGCTTCCCCCTCATGGGTCCGGGCCCCTCCCAGGAAACCAGAGGGCGCGAAACGCTTCCGTTGGGAGCGAAACATGGATTAAGCTCCTTATGGGGCCACGAAACGTGTGAGTGGTGTGCCAACATGGTGCGGCGCCGCCATGCGGACTGCGCCATTGGGACCTCAGTGGGGCTCCCTATGGGGCCACGAAGCGTGTGAGGAGTGTGCCACAATGGGGCGGCGCCACCATGCGGACTGCGCCACTGGGACCTGAGGTGGAGCTCCTTATGGGGCCACGAAGCGTGTGCGGGGTGTGCCAACATGGTGCGGCGCCGCCATGCGGACTGCGCCACTGTGACCTGAGGTGGAGTTCCCTATGGGGCCACGAAGCGTGTGAGGGGTGTGCCACACTAGCGCGGCGCCGCCATGCGAACTGCGCCACTGGGACCTGAGGTGGAGCTCCCTATGGGGCCACGAAACGTGTGAGGGGTGTGCCACAACAGGGCGGCGCCGCCATGCGGACTGCGCCAATCGGGCCTTGGGTGGATCTCCCTATGGAGCCACGGAACGTGTGCGAAGTGTGTCCTTATGGTGCGGCGCCGCCATGCGGACTGCGCCACCGGGACATGACGTGGAGCTCCCTATGGGGCCACGAAACATGTGAGTGGTGTGCCAAGTAACGCGGCGCCGCCATGCGGACTGCGCCATTGGGACCTGAGGTGGAGCTCCTTATGGGGCCACGAAACGTGTGAGGGGTGTGCCAAATTGGGGTGTCGCTGCCATGCGGACTGCGCCACTGGGACTTGATGTGGGATTCCCTATGGGGCCACGAACGTGTGAGGGGTGTGCCACAATGGGGTGGGTGGCGCCGCCATGCGGACTGCGCAATTGAGACCTTGGGTGGAGCTCCCTATGGGGCCACGAAGCGTGTGAGGGGTGTGCCACAATGGGGCGGCGCCGCCATGCGGACTGCGCCATTGGGACCTGAGGTGGAGCCCCCTATGGGGCCACGGAGCGTGTGAGGGGTGTGAGCCGGACGATGAAGATTCTGGTGATGATGACGATGGTACTCATTTCGGCGATGATGATGATGGTGATGCTGATCATGATGGTGATGGTGATAATGACGATGATGGTGATATTGATGATGATGATGATGATGATGATGATGATGATGATGATGATGATGATGATGATGATGATGACGGGAGGAGGGGGGAGGAGAGGAGGAAGGAGAAACGCGGGGCGGTGTCTTCTCAAAAAGAGGACCGAACACCACAGGATGGTTAGGAAATGCAGTGTCGGGACAGGCCACGTCCAGAGACCGAAAAACGATATTCCGGCTGCAGTGTTCGAGCCATACCAGCTGTGATGGTCCCAGGGCTTGAAGACAGGCTACAACGCCCACTGTGAAAACATTGCGAAGCCAAGGCTTCAAGGCCAAATGTCGGCCACGCGCAGAGGGGGGCAGGGGTAGGGGGGGGGGGCCTTCTTGGGGGGGGGGCCTTCTTGGAAGCACCCCTGCTTCTGCGAAGGCGCGGGCCTTGTGCGTAGATGTGAGGCCGTCGCCTTCTGAGCCTCCTTCAAGGAAGCCTTCCTCTCTCCCCCTGCCCCCTTTGTGCGCGCCGCCAAACTTGTGAGGACTCCTGGGCCTTCCCATCCCCCCGTGCTGACTCGGCGCGAGACAGGTCTCCGTCGTTCCCCGGCGTCACGTCCGTGTACCGCAAGGAGCGGGGCGCGCCCCCTCCTCCTGCGAAGTGCCGCCCGTGCGGCTGGACCACGCCGACCCGTACCTTGAGATGCGGGGAGAAGGAGGAGGAGGCAGAGGAGGAGGAGGAGGAGGTAGAGGAACGAGGAGGATGAGGAGGATAATAATAGTAGGAGGAGCGGGAGGCTGAGGAGGAGGAGGAGGAGGACCAGAGTAAACCCAAGATGCAACAAGGTTGCTGCATCCGTCACACGTCGCCTGCCCACAAGTCCGTACATGCCTTCCGATCTACTTCAAGAAACATATTTTTGAAAGGCCAGCACCCGATCAGCCTGTCACTCGGACGGGAGCACGTTGTTGGTCAAAGCAGTAGCGTAGTTGCAGACTTCCGGCGAGTAAGAAGAAACGCGCAAAGGCATGGACATTCAATTTAACAAGGTGTCCGGCGAGATCCCCGTTGTGAGAAAGGACCAGAGGAGGAGGAGGAGGAGAAGGAGGAGGAGGAGGAGGAGGAGGAGGAGGAGGAGGAGGAAGAGATGAAGGAGGAGGAGGGAGGAGGAGGAGGAGGAGCAGGAGGAGGAGGAGGAGGAGGCCTCGGGAGGGGCGAGCGCAGCACGCGCGCTCGGCTCCTGGCCGCAGACCGCTCGCAGCCAGGTCCCCCGCGGGCACCGCGGGGAGAGGCGGGGGAGAAGGAGCCCGAAGGGGTCCCAGACACCGGCGCTGCGGGTGGGGGCTTGCCCGGCAGCATGCTCGGGAGACTCTCCATGGGGGGGGATCCCATGGGGGGGCAGGAGGGGATCCCCCATGGGATCCCCTCCTGGGGATCCCCAGGGGATCCTATGGGATCCCCCCCTGGGATCCTATCCCCCCATGGGATCCCCCCCCATGAAGAGTCTCCCGAGCATGCCCGAGCAGAGTGGTCCCAGACATGCTCGCGGGAAGTTTTTTGCTCGGGGGCCCTCGCCGGGCCCCCGGGACCGTCGACAGAACACCTCGGGGCGAAAGGCTCGGGACTTCTGGGGGCCGCGCGCGGAAGAAAGAAAGGCAGCAGATGTCCGGGCGCCGCTGCGTGCACCAGCCCCCGCCTTCACCATCGCGCGCAATCCCCCCCCTCTTGAAAGACGGGCGCCTCGGTGGCTCTAGACTCAAGCGGGATCTCTGCAAAAGAACCACTCATCCATCATTCGAGCTATTTGTCGATCGAGGCACCGACGCAGCAAACTCGTTGGGTTTATCAGCGTGCTACGTGCTACGTCGCTGTCGTATTTTGCATTAGATGCGTGGCGCTGCCCTTCCCCGTCTCCTGTTTGTTCTACGTGCGCGCCTGGAGCAAAGGCTAGGGCTCCGTCTTACATCCGCCTGCAATTTGGGCGACGAGCCCGCGCTGCTTAGGTAGCGAGCGAGCGAGCATGCGTACCACCGGGTGTTGCTGTGTGGGCAGGGATGTGGAGGACGAGCCCCCAGACGTTCCACGCACTGAACAAACACTAGCCTGGCGAATGGCCCAAGCATACGCAGCTGCTGATACCGTCGTTGTTAGTATCGCCTTCGGCGGATCTCCTTATGGGGCCACGAAGCGCGTGAAGAGTGTGCCGAAATGGGGCTGGGCGGAGCTCCATATGGTGCCACGAAACGTGTGAGGGGTCCGTCCAAATAGGGCGCGCGCCGCCATGCCGATTGCGCCACTGGGACCTTAGGTGGGGCTCCCTTTCGGGCCACGAAAAGTGTGAGTGGTGTTCCAAAATGGGGCGGCGCCGCCAGGCGGACTGCGCCACTGGGACCTTGGGTGGAGCTCCCTATGGGGCCACGAAACGTGTGAGGGGTGTACCAAAATAGGGCGGCTTCGCCATGCGGACTGCCCAACTGGGACCTTAGGTGGAGCTCGCTACGAGGCCACGAAACGTATGAGGAGTCTGCCAAAATAGGGCGGCGGCGCCAGGCGGACTGCGCCACTGGAACGCCGCCATGCGGACTGCGCCTCTGGAACTTTCGGTGGAGCTCCCTATGGGGCCACGAAGCGTGTGAGGAGTGTGCCAAATCGGGGCGGCGCCGCCATACGGACTGCGCCACTGGGACCTTAGGTGGCGCTCCGTATGGGGCCACGAAGCCTGTGAGGGGTGTGCCAAAATAGGGCGGCGCCGCCATGCGGACTGCGCCACTGGAACTTTCGGTGGCGCGTACTGTGGGGCCACGAAATGTGTGAGGAGTGTGCCAAATCGGGGCGGCTCCGCTTTGCGGACTGCGCCTCTGGGACCTTAGCTGGAGCTCCCTTTGGGGCCACGAACAATGTGAGGGGTGTGCCAAAACGGGGCGGCGCCGCCATGCGGACTGCGCCACTGGGACCTTCGGTGAAGCTCCCTATGGGGCCACGAAGCGTGTGAGGGGTGTGCCAAAGTAAGGGGGTGACGAGAGGAGGAGGAGGGGGAGGAGGAGGAGAGAAGAGGAGAGGAGGAACGGGGGGATCGCCTCTTCCGAGGACCCCACACCACAGGATGGTTGGGAACAGGGCGGAAGTGTCCCGCCGCTTTCCGTTTCTGGGGTCTGTCGTCTGGGGTCGTCATCGAAACGGTGTTAGGGATGAAGCGTCGGCCTTGGGAAACGGGTTGGGGCTTCCATGGGGCCCGATAATGAAAAAATAACAGCAAAGGGGGGACCAGCAAGTGAGCGGTGGAGGAAAAACGGGATCGTCTTCACCGGCACCGGCGCGTAAGTTGCCCGCGTATGGTCGCGCGGAGGCGCCCACCGTTCCAATGCAGCGTGCAGCGCTGGCGGCCCACCGCGTGAGGTCGCTGTGCCATCTCGCGTAGGACCTATTCCTTTCCGTCGTCCAGGTGCCGCCGTTTGGGCGGCCACCGCCCCCCTCGGCGGCGGCAGCCCACGCCCGCCGATGACGGGCCTGGGGGAGGCAGCGGCGTGCCCTGGGGGGGAGGTGAGGAGGGTCGGACCTTCTCAGAAGGCTCGGAAGTCCCCCGGCCTTCTGAGAAGGCTTCGATGCTTCCCCCGGAGACACGGGAAACTCCTCGGACGGCGCGAGGGCTTTGAGAAGTCTCGCCGCCTCCCGAGAAGGCCTTCTCCTCCTCGCGTCCCCCGCCCCTCGCCCGCCGCCGAGGGAGGACAGCACGCCATGGGCCCGTGGGGCGACCCCCCCCCCTGGGCTGCCCTGGTCCCGCTGGTTGCGGCCTGCGGCATGGCGCGCAGCTCTTTTTTTTCGGCACCGCCATACCGGATTGGGTGCTCCTTGCCCCCCCCCACCTCGAGTGGATGAGGAGGAGAGGATCCGGGGCAACGATAGGGCGGGATAGGCATAGGGGGGGCGCATCGACCTCCAATCACCCATGGATCGCCGATGGGGGCCCGATAGCCCCAGCCTGCCCAGGAACGTGCGGATGCACTCTCGGGGGCCTATCGCCGATCTATCGGCGATGCATCGCAGCTTCCAGGTCGATGTTGCCCTCCCTATGCCAGTCACCCCCTATCGTTGATCCTCAGAGGAGCGCCGGGGCGTCGGGCGGCCATGCTGTTGCAGCAGAACGCCTCGCATCTCGAAAGCTGACGAAAGAACCCAGATGTCAAACGTCTTGAACAAACACAGGACGGAGGTTTTCCAGCGTGTTCTGCATCTTGGGTCTCGTCGGGCCCTGAGGCCCACCAGGCTGCCCTCCAAGGGGCCCAGCAAGCACACACACACACACACACACACTTCGAATCATCGGACTTGAAGGGAGGAGCACGAGGACCCGGACGTCCAACGTCTCGACCACTTACCTGGCGAGTGACCCGACCCGCTGCGGCTGCAAGGACCACTGTCTGCAGTCGGGGCGCTGAAGAAGGAACCCTTTTCGTTGGGGAGGGGCTCCGTTTTCCTTAATTGTTTCACAGCTTGCCTTAGGTGTTCCTTAGGTTTTCGATGGGAAATCGAGCTTTAACTGATGGGACAAAAGGGGCCTCGTTCCTTATTTAGGGTTCTTTAGGTCAACGTCCCGACTGTATGACCCCCTACTCAGCTGTAGGTGCGCCGCGAGAGGGACTGCGCCCCGGGGCAGTGCGGTCGGGGGCCGCGAGGCGCGGGCGGAGCGCGGCAAAGAAGGAGGCGGAGGAGCCCGGCGGTCCCGCCTGCCGTGGCCGCAGGTGCGGCTCCCTGGGGCGATGCGGCCGCGCCCACGGGGGGCAGTGGTGGAGCGCCTTGCGAGGGGTGCGAGGCGTGTGGGGAGTGCGCCGACGTTCGGGGATGGACAGACCCCCCCTAATAGTAAAGCGTGGTTTGGTGAAAACGACCTGAGGCCCAAACCTGGCGGGCGCAAGCCTGGAAAAAAAAGGGCCGCGGCGCCCTCTCGAGAACCGAAAACGGACAATTCACTAATCGACGTGTCAGTGTTGGGGGTTCTGTCCACCCCCGAGAAGTGGGCGCGGCGGTTCCACACGGCCGCGCCCACTGACACCGCAGTTGGAGCTCCCTGCGGTCGGCGTCACCCTATCATGTTCATGCTGTGTGTGTGCGTCGCCCCCCCAAGGGGTGACGCGCGCACCGAGAAGTCTTGTAGGACATGTGTTGCGGCGGGCGCTTTCTGGCCACGCCGCTCGGGAAGCGATAGACTACACTATTGGTATACTTCGAGCCTCCAAGGAAGACCTGGAGGACTAGTATGTCCTTGTGCGTCCCACACGGGGCACGATAGGCGTGAGGGTGATCCGAAAGATACCCGCAGAGGGCATTAGGCAAGGATGGGGAGCGAGCTGCGGGAGCACAGGCAGGGACGGGAGGCGGAAGGAGTAAGGAGACGCGGGGCGCTGCAGATTCGATTCGAAGCGGCCCCACGTCCAGAACCGGCTGGGAAAGCAACACGGAGATGTCCGCCGTCCTCCGTCGCTTGGGTCCCCCTCCAGGCCTCGGGACAGGCAACGGCCGACTCGGGACGATGACCCGTCTTGGGGAAAGGGTCAACTTTTGTCGGGGGCCTGGTGAAACGTGAGGGAAGAAACACGGCGTGCAAGACATTTTTTAACATCTTGGAATCAGCTCGG